TTCAAGTGTTGGCCACAAAACACAACAACAAAAACTAAATAAACGTTTCATTCATTTCGCAGAAGAGATAGAAATTGAGGCAAAAGAAAGGCTGATATAAAAGAGTGAGAAAAGTTGTGATCAAAAGGTTGTGCCGTAAGAAATGGTCTCCTATTATGATATGATATCTTATTATTACATACGATATGGTAATTATAATAAGCATAATATTTATGAGTCTAAAGGCAGATACGAGAGAGAGAGAGAGAGAGAGAGAGAGAGAGAGAGCAGGAAATCTTTTGAGACAAAAATACAAACACAAAACACTTCAATTCACATCTGTTTCATATATTCCTCTCTATTCTCTTCGCACATAAAAGAGAGAAAATATTTTTATTTTATACTAAATATGAGAAAATATTTTTAATTTTGCAAAACACTTGAGTACTAGATATGACCAAAGGTGTTGTGAGACCCAACCCTACCATAACACCCCCAGATCTAGCAATCAATTGGCAATTTATTTACAGTAATTGATTGGTTTTGTCAACGGTTTTAACGCCCGGATAATCCCTATTAAAACCCTGTAATAAAACAAATGGTAATTTATATATAAACATATTTATAAAGTATCATGTTAAGTCACCAGACCTATTACCCTTGTACCCCTTACCCCCACCTAAACTGTTCACAGATAATAAGGATATACGGCGTGTTTAGTAGATTAAAATGCATTGTACCGGAAAATAAACTGGTGATTTTAAAACTACAATTTTATCATTTTATTATTACACAAAACACTTCAATTCACATCTGTTTCATATATTCCTCTCTATTCTCTTCGCACATAAAAGAGAGAAAATATTTTTATTTTATACTAAATATGAGAAAATATTTTTAATTTTGCAAAACACTTGTAGAGAGAGAGAGAGAGAGAGAGAGAGAGAGAGAGCAGGAAATCTATTGAGACAGAAATACAAACACAAAACACTTCAATTCACATCTCTTTCATATATTCCTCTCTATTCTCTTCGCACATAAAAGAGAGAAAATATTTTTATTTTATACTAAATATGAGAAAATATTTTTTAATTTTGCGAAACTCTTGAGCACTAGATATGACCAGAGGTGTTGTGCGACCCAACCCTACCATTACACACCACATCTAGCAATCAATTGGCAATTTATTTACAGTAATTGATTGGTTTTGTCAACGGTTTTAACGCCCGGATAATCCCTATTAAAAACCTGTAATAAAACAAATAGTAATTTATATATAAACATATTTATAAAGTATCATGTTAAGTCACCAAACCTATTACCCCTGTACCCCCACCTAAACCGTTCACAGATAATAAGGATATACGGCGTGTTTAGTAGATTAAAATGCATTGTACCGGAAAATAAACTGGTGATTTTAAAACTACAATTTTATCATTTTATTATTAGTAAAGAGTTTTAAATCGAAATAAAATATAATAAAATTTTTTGATAAAGAGATGAAGAAAACCAATAGTAAACTGAAATAAAATAAAATACTAATAATAAAAGTCTTAACAATAAATAAATATTTAATAGTATATTGTAAACCGAAATTGTCAGGGGTATGGCAAACATGGTAATAGTAATAAAATGCAATACAGTGTATGTTTCCATATGTGTATCGCAACTGTTGTATTACAACAATAATATAGATAACAAAAAACAGTTGTATTTATTAGTTATACAATATATAAAGGTTTTGTGTTTTTTAAACCAGAAAAAAACTGTTTTGTTTCGGCAAACAATTGATATTCAGTGTAATATTCAATAAAAAACAACAAAAAATAATATAAAACATACAGAAAAAGCATTTCCCAGCAGTCAGTCGACCATAACATCAGTCAAAAGGCATACATATATACATGTTATGTAAGAATTGCGAAAAGTTTTGTATACAAAAGGGACAAATATAAGTGAGAAAATAAAATACAAATACCAACTCGATCAATCAACACCGGGGTCTCAATCCCTTGATAAATATTGTATAAACATTAAATACAACCGATTCTGTATGTATGGGCACATGTATGCCGGAGAATGGCATGTGAATGATTGGTGGATAACTCGGTATAAACCCTATGGTCTTATATTAGAGGTCAGGGAAAATAAAAGACAAAAATATTGTATATAAAAAAACTAACCATAAAATAGGTTTGAAAAGTAATTTCTGACATTTTGTTATTTTTGTGACATTTCTTCTCTCTATTTATGTTATCTATTCATTTGGTTTGTGTTTTTTCTTGTGACAGAAAAATGACAGAAATGTTCAGTTCATTATATCGGGTATACACTGTATTATAAATACAATGCAATACTATTGACATAATCACAAACCAATTCATTGTATATCTAATGTGGGTTATAATGAGAGGTGGGGTTAGATCTCGATTGTGTACATAAATGCAAAACCAGTTCACAATAACGGATTTGACGGTACATTATATGCATTAATAAAACCCTTTATCAAAATAAATGCCAACAAACGACTCGTTATTTTGTATTTCAATCAAATTCACGGAAAAAGTTTTTAAGAACTTTTATTATTTTCTGATTTAATCACGTTTTGAATGAATAAATGCATTAAAAACCATTAAAATTGCGATTAAATTAAATAATCAAAATGAATACAATTTATGTTAGTTTTGATAATCATTTTATTTAGTTTTAAATTTCAATTAATAATAATTTTTAATAATCATTTCACAAATTTTAATAATATATTTATAAATATATAATACATTTAGAAAAACATTAATATTATTATTAATTATATGTAAATTAAGGACAAATAGTAATTTTTCGTTCAATATATTCATATTATAGATATATTTAACGCTAATATTAATATCAGTGATAAATACAGTAATAATTATAATAATAAAGTCAATTAAAAATTGGCGATAAAAAGCAAAAACATTACAAAATGTTGTGTTTTTGATAAAATATAATTTTTTTCATTAATAAAAAAGTTTTATGATTTTTAATCAAATTGTTTTTTACGTTTTTATTTTGTAATAATAAAAGTAATAATAATAAGTAATAAAAGTGGTGTAAAACTAATGCAAAGGCATTAATATATAATTCATTTAAAAAGTTTTAGTGTTTTATATAAATTAATTGTAATAATTATATAAAATTTAATTTTGACAAATTCACTAATTAATAGAGAAAAATGATATATTAATTCAAAAATATAATTTAATTCTTAAACTTAAATATATGTATAATATAATGAAAACAAATGAAAACTCGCTTTTGCTTATAATGACTTAGATATTAATAATTAAAATTAATTTAAAATCTAATATAATTTAATTAAATGTTAGAATTATATAATAATCAAAATGTTAGCCAAATGTTTGCTTAAAAACAATTTATATTAGAAATCCGTTAAAAACACTAATAATTCAATTTAATTGTTATTAAAATCAGTAAAAATTGTTTCGTGTATTTAAAAAGCGTTATATCTATTCGTTTGCCACTAAAAAACTCATCCATTAATTAATCAATTAATTAAATATAAAATTCTTAAATATTAATAATAATAATAGTTATAATCAATCAGTCATTAAACTAATCAATAGTCAATCAATTAATACCATAAGCTTTTGATTGGGTCTTAAATATTACATACAATTCACAGACAAATAAAAATATTGAAATGAAATGATAAGAAAAATAATAAAAACAATTTCCTAGAAATAAAATAACAGCAAAAATTGCTTTTAATTTACTGTATATTTTAGAGTCAATGATACGAATCATTAGACATATTATATAAGCAATAATAGGCTTGAGATAAGGGAAATACAACAGAATTGCTGTATAATAACGATATGTAATAATAATAATAAACATATCTATAGTAGGAATCCGTCAGTGAAATGATAAAACAACGAGTTTATTAGTCCGGAGGTAACGGTATGTCTCTGTGTGTCTGTGCCTGAAAGCACAGGCAGTCGTCAGTCTCTCCCTATCCATACATACACTCCAATAGAGACACTAATTTGTCTCTCAATTACATAACGGATTGAGAAAACAGTAGAGAAAGAAAAAGAGAGACAAATAATATATGAGTTCCTGTTTTGATAGCCAGTGGAGAGAGAGAGAGAGAGAGAGAGAGAGAGAGAGTTCTCTCTCTCTCTCAGTTCAAATATTATTGATATTTTTGATGTCGTTTTATGCAATAGTTTTTTGATAAATTGATTAATATCTATGTTAGGGCTCATGTACTAAATATATGCTTTAATTTACATTTTTAAATCATTTACAAAAGCAATTTAAAATTCTGGTCATTTATCCACATCTACTGTTTATTAGTTACCTAGATTTCTTAGTAAAACTATGTATAACTACTTTTACTAAATTCTTAAAATCTTGTTTACAACGAAATGATGATTTAATTCATACAAAACTATAACAGAATATTATTTTGAGTACAAATTCATTATATAATTCCCATTAGTATGAAATGAAAGTAAGTATAGATTATAGTGTGTACTAAACAAATGGCAATTGCTTCTCAGTATTCAATAACATATAATAATACTATAATTTCTTGTGACAAAAACATTTGAAAGAAATAACAAAATACTAGACATAAAAACTTGTTGGCCTTCATTATAACCAACCGTATATTATATGCAATAGTTGTTTTAGTAACTAATAATATGGTAAACTTAATGTTTAAATACACTTATATTAGGCTATTAATGCCATCATATGATGCTAAAAATATAATGCATTTATATTTAACAAAATGTGATTTTATTTATTTTTATTTTCAAATAATGTAATTATACACAGAAAAAGTGTTTCAAAATTTGAATAACAATTTTTGCAATACTTTATACTGACTCACAAAATTAATGTATATTATTAATTCAAAAAGGGAAATAACTTTTATAAATACTTTCACTTGGTCAAAATAATATTTTAAATGTCATTATATTAATTGATAAACAACATAGATTTAGATTGAGAGATGTTACATATGGGAAATGGGGTTATAGTCAAGCAATAATGGTAAAATCACAGGTTTTAAATGATCACGATATACTTTTGATGCCAATATATAACCAGACTAAATACCCCCGAAAAGATTGAACCTATCAAGTCGTTTGACCATGCTGCTGACCCCGTTCTCGGCGGTATCCTGTAGCTGATTAACGCGATTCATGAGCCGATTCTGGTGGGCCCGCCATCGCTGTCGAGCGCTCTCCACTTTTTCGTTAAGCCGGTCGTACAGTCGCACACCCTTTAGAGTCAATCGTGTCATTAGATTTGTCAATATACTGGTCGGCGTCGAGCTATCGGTGCTCTCGTCTGTGTTGTCACTCATTTCACTCCAACCGCTGTCTTAATTATGTTGTGATTTAGATATAGTTAGTCTACATATTTATAAACACTTTAGTAATTATATTTACCATCGGTTGGACTGTCATCGCTGGCGGCCGACTCTTGATCACTGGCCACCTCCTCAGTCTCGGTGGGCGTCAATGTCTCGGTCTCTTCTGGATCCTCCTCTACCTCTTGACCTGTTAATTATGGTCATTATTTAATAAGTTATAACAATCCTATAAACCATATTTTTCATAAATGAATTGTGGTGAAAAATATGGAATTATGCTTACATTTAATTACAGACAAACCAATGGCAAATAATAATGTTAAACATAATGTAATTTTAAACATTTTTACTGGGAGGAAATATTTTTACCATTTACAATTTGAAATTTAAAATTATTAAAACTTAGTAAATGTCTTATCCATTTATATCATAAATGGTATTTATATATGAATTACAGAATATTTTTTAGTTTTTATCACAACAGGACTTTCAAATAAGATATTAATTTCACCCCCATTTTATTGTAGACAATTGATTAAAATCCCCATTAATTATAGTGTAAAGTATTTTGAATATGATAAATTATGTGATGCATTATGATATTAGACGCAGATGGCCATAAATATAGTACTTTAGTACTTTTATAGCCAGAATTTGTTACAGAATTTAATGTTTTAAAAATACCTTGTATATTTAGTATATCCTCTTACAAGTTATCACAATTCTTTTTTAAACTTCAAATTGTTCTGGGTTTTTTTTTGTTAATATATATTTTGAATAAAGATTACAATGAATAAATATTTTATAATTAATTTCTTAAGCATTTAATAAATAAAATAATATAATATAATGATAAGGTTTATATAAATTTTATTTAATTAGAATAAAAGTTTAGTAATGTACAAGCAAACTATTCTGAATCAATTTAAACAAATAAACCATGTTATTAACTTTGACAATAATAATTTTATTCTTAATATTTACCTACAATCTATTTGTAAATTAAAATGTTGATAAACATTAATTAATTAAAAAATAGTTGTTATTTACTAATGTATTATATTTTATTTTAAATTATTATTGACTTATTTTGTAAAATTATATAATATTATTGTATCAATCGGTTAATTAGTGTCCACATATCCCAAATAGTTAATTTCAATATAATGAATTAAATATTATTTGTATTATTTACAGTTTTTATGTGAACTTTACATATTTATTGTATATACAGTCTTATAATCAAACTATCAATATTATATTTTATATTAAAATATCAAGTTTATTAGACAAATTCAAATGAACAAATACAAAATCATAAAACTTATTTCACCAACAAATACAAAACGTATAAAATGTTAAACAAAATTATTTTAGTTAGATAAAAAATAATTTTTATACAAAATAAATTGAGATTCAAAAGCCTTATTTGAGCAATAATTGAATAGATAAATAATACATATAAGTGTAATCATCGGATTAAGCGGTACCAAAAAACTGTCTCAATCGACTTAAAGGATTAGTGGGGGCGTCACCGACACTGGTCTCGCCATCGGCCTGTCCGGCATCACTTTGAACACCTTGCACAAATTGTTGACCACGTTCACGCAGTCTATTAAATCCGCCTTGAAACTTCTTCTGACCTTGTTGCAGGTTCTCTTGGAGCCGATGGCCCACTTCCTGAGCCCTCTCGTTCAACCTGTCATATAGTCTCACGCCTTCCAATTGCATGGATGTCATAAAGGTTTTCAATGGACTAAGGCCTGCACCTGTAGCCGAGGAATCGCCGGTTCCCGAGTCTGTAATTACAAAATTAATGTTAATGAAAACATTCAAAAATTTTTCAAACATGTTATTGTAGGAATATTTTAACATGTACAGTCTAATAACTACGAAGTTCAGTTTTTGTCAAAAGTTTGTATTGTACAAAAAGTTACACTATTTAAGTGAAACAGTTACAAATAAAAGTCAATTGTAGTAAAGTAAAACTTACCGACTGGTGTTTTCACATCACTGGCGCCCAAATCCGTGTCCACCGATTCTCCAGTCGTAGCCTCAGTAGTGTCGGTGTTGTCCAATTTCTGGCCTTTATATCAATTAATATATAAATTTTTATTGTTTATCAAAACCACTCAAAAATATAAAGTATAGTTAAAATATTTGAGATATTTATTATCAAAAATACTTACAATTGATTGCTGATAGACTGATTGCCAGTATTACTGCCAAGTATAATATAGATTTCATTTTGTATTAAATATTAATAAAATATAATTTTCACAAAATATATTAACTATAATATAAATTCAATAAGAGTTTCAATTTTGCAGTTTCAAAAACTTTTAAAAATATTTATTGATAAGAATATCGATTTTAAAACTGCTATTTATATCTGAATTCACGAACTATCTAGATTGTTTTGATCATGTATTACGTACGTGTGATGCAACATAGCAGGTCCAAGTATCATTATGACGGGGCTCTCATGCGTTAGTGCAAAATTAAATTCATTTTGTGTTATGTGTAATTATAGTGTACTGATATACTGCATAAATTAATGCAAGGTAAAAAACAATTTTGGTACATCAGTCCTTAATGTAATTCAATGGGTGGTTAAAAAGATGAAAGTTACATTACTTTAGGCTATTATATCACATAGAAGCACTAACCTAGAGTACAATTTTAATGATATACCTGATTGTCTTAAAAATATATAATTTATATTAATTTACAATTTTATACATTTATATTTAACTTTTAACTTAATAAATCTGTTTATAACCGTAACTAATTTGATAATTTTTAAATCTTTATGAGAGAGAGAGAGAGAGAGAGAGAGAGAGAGAGAGACCTATCAAATGGTATTAAAGGCAATAATACAGCATTTTTATTACACTCTGAACTTTATTTTAAAATAAACTAATAATAATTTAAATTTAGTGGTAAAATAAAAAGGACTAGGGCTATCATACACTTTATGATCATATTTTGGTTAACCATTTTACAGCGCTGTTTTTGTACCATGGTACTATTTATGTTTATAGTCCTTTTTATACACACTCTTTGAGCTCATATTTGATACACACTCTCATTAATTAAAAGTAAAACTGTAATAAAATAATTAGTATAAAATTGTGAGCATAAATAATAAATAATAAATACTGGAAAACATTTGCATAGCTTTAAGATTAGATTTAAGTTTAAATTATAAGAGTGTGTAAAACAGCTGTCAATGTATTGCAATACAAAAGGGCTTACACTACAATCACAGCCACTGCCACACCATTGACTTCAACGCCATCGCCGGCAGCTAACGATACCACTCCGGGCACTAATGGTACGGTTGTTGTCACGAGTCAACCCCAAGTATATCCCAAGTTAGATGAGTCGGCCGTTAATAACGCCGACAATACCGGTGCCGCCGATGAGACCAAACAACAGCCAGAGCTCGAGCCGATGCTCAACGCGAAGAAACTGGAGGCAGAGGGTAATGGCGGTGACAATGGAGGGCCTGAACCGGGCGCTGATCGGAAGGCTAGTCATTACGATGAAGACGGGAATCGGTGCACGAAATGGTGGTGTGAGAAGTGTTGCTGCAATTACTGCCAGTGCTGTCCCGACCCCTGTGTCCAGTGTATGGTCCAGTGGAAGGACGGGTGCGATGGGACGGGCAACTGGTTCCGCAACTGTTTCCGATAATTTATAATGTCATTTATTTCTGTGGTATTTTTAGCTATAATTTTTGGCTATTTTATGTGTTTTTAGATATGTATGAGTAAAAGCCGTCGACTTACTAACTTTTACCATAAGTTAATTTATATTAAGTGTATTGAATTTAAACACTGAATGATACATGAATAGAAATATGTCAATAGCTAGTGAGCCGATGGCTTTCTCACTAATATTATGTGCTTTTTGTATTTTTAACCGCATTTGATAATAAAATACTAGTGAATATATTTAAGCTAACATTAATATCTACCTGTCTGTAGGTATAACTGTGTTAATATACAATGAAATCAATTATGATAAAAACTGATTTATATAATTCACATTGATCCAGATAAATGTAATGCTTTTTTATTATCGAACTAATACCACTATGATAATTGTTCAATATATGATTTGCTCCATTTTTATATATTTTAGAAGTATTTGAATTTTAAATAATTTATAAAATATATTAAATAAATATAATATTGTTTTTATAAATTTTTCATTTAATAAAAATATTATTATTTAAAACAACTTTTAGAATGAATATTGATTAAATTATAAAAATCGATAATAGTATTAAAAAAACCCATTAATATGCATTTATTTAATGAGCAAGATAAATAAATTCTAATCTCGTGGTTACAGTAATTTATGCTGTATTCTACTCAACGAGTAAAATAGTATATTTTTCTCACCTGCTATCTACGAAATGGTAAACAAACTAATTATTAACTTTATATTTATATGGTGGACATACAGATTTACAAGTTTATTTAAACTACATTAACTAATGTTGCCAATTAATTTAATATTAGCATATAATTGTTTATTGAGAATGTTTACAATACTGCACAAGATTTCAATTTATTTGAGTAATGTTATCAAGTTATAATGCTTTAATTAAATTATTTTATTATAATTTATTTAGTGCTATAAATAAATACAGAATACTAATTAGCGTTTTGCATATATTTACTATTACCATATTATTTTGTTAACATGGTAAATTATTCATCAGTAAACGGGGCGGGTGTTGGTGGAGGCAGATTATCAATAATCTCCTGAATGAACTTGCTCATTCTAGCGTAGGCTTTAGTGGCCCATGTGATAATCTCGTGACGTTTAGCAGGATCAGTTTCATTTTTCAATTTGTCCTGGGTCTCTTTCTGTGAATCAATTGATTTCATATAGATTATTTTATTAAACGTAATATAATAATAAGAAGCATTTAGCTCATTTAATAAATTTTATATAGACTTAATTTGAACCGTGTCTAACTAAAATATAATAGCTTGTCAATCACATATAGAATTTACAGTATTTAACATGTTTTAAAAAAACATTATACCTCCAAGGTGTCCACCCCTTTGCCCAAGATACCGCAAAAGTTGGTGATGTAATCGCTCTTCATTATATCGGTGATAGCTTTAAGGTCTTGCTTACCTTTAAGCAAGGCAGCATGCTCCCTTTTCAGGTCATCAGGCTCATCGCATCGGACTTTACAATAAGTTAGGTTAAAATTAATAAGTAAAACATTGTATGTCAAATACAGTGAGGCACATATATTGAGCAACAAATAGCCAAACACATAGTATAGAAATGAATACTTGTATTCGAGTACACTGTATGCTGTTATAGTGTACGCTAATATATTACAACATAGGGCTGGATTAGGCCTGTGTTTCATTAGCTGTAGTTCAGTATAAAATATATGATCAAATAGTTAACTCGATAACTAACCATATTTCAAATGATTTGGCGATTATGAAACAAGTTTAATATTTTAGTATAAGTTTAATATTTGCCAGATTTTCCTTAAGATAAACCCAATATGATTGTAAATTTATTTAAAAATCATATAATAAAGCTTATCTAATTATGGTAATATTTTGCAATAGGTAAAATTACTTTAAAATAAAAATATATTAGAAATATTTTAACATTAAGCTTACACAATTCACTATCGACAAGTATTTAATTAATTTTATATCAATAATTCACATTACGAATAATTTTACATAGATGTAATATACATAAAACATACACATAAAGTAAAATACTAAAATAAATTTCACAATATAACAAATAATAAAATATATTTATTACCAAATAATGTAACCGATGCTAAGATGACCGCAATTAAAACGAACTTGTGCATTTTGGTGTTGAGGTTACTAATTAATAACTACGCTATTAATCTATTAATGCGTTTAATTAAATAACAAATGTAAGAATTTAGTACATGTGAAATAAATTGTACTGGACTAATTTGTAATTGCTTGGCAATTATATTCAATAGAAGAGCACTTATAGTTTAAGTGATTGGTGTTATATTTATAAGCAAAATTTAGTATAGTACTTAATTACCCATTATCTTAAATTTGAAGCCCTGATTTCTTTGTAAAATATTGATATATCAATTGTAATTGATTACTTGGCATTTAGTTTTTATACTTACTATAGTACTTGTTAAAAATACTATTATGCGAATAAGTAAAATAATTATAACATTAGTATAATAGTTAATGCATTAGTATATTCAAATGATAATAGATTATTATTAATAAGAATTCTTAGTTATAAATTAATTAGTTGGCAGAATCTATTATTCTTTAACGTTTTTATGATTGTAAATAATACAAAATGTTATTACAGCTTAAAATTCTCTCTCTCTCTCTCT